TTCCCCTCTTCAACAAACATTCTTTTTTTTCTGGATATTTCTGGATAGTTGTTCTAAACCTTACACTTAGGTTGGTGCTTAATTGGAGGTGAAGCTTAGTGTGATTATTTTTTTCAAGATGTAAAATATTTGTCTTTAAAAAACAACTTTTTATTAAGCCTCTCTGTGGCTGTGTGAGTGCAAGCTCTGTATAGTGAGTTTTTTCTAAACTGTTAAGCAGAAATGTGCTGCTGCAATATTTTTAATAAACTGGTCTGCAAGTACATATCTGAAGTGTCCAAAAGACTGGTAACGGCAGCTAGTGTGTAGAGTGCAAGAAAGTAGATATATTTTACGAATTAGTATGTGACCTTGAAGATTTTTTTTTTATTGGGCTGCTGTACAGTGTCAGCAAATGAACTTGCACTTTTAGGTTCAACGAGTAGTTGTTTCTAGCATTTTTAAAAATTTAATCTTTTTTTTGATGTTTTGCACACACAAAATGAATCCTACGGAGCACCATAGCAGTCTTTCTAAAATATTTCCTTTTTTGACTTACTGCAAGCAAGTAACCATCTTCTCACTCTAGAAAAAAACTGATGTTATAATTTGCGAATACAAAGCACATTGTGAATAGAAAGAATTAAGTCTGTGAGCTTCTATGGTGGTGAAGCCTGTTAGTGGATGTTATCAAGAGAAAGCACTATAGCCTTCTTGTGATAACCTGAGCTTCCCTGTGCTTGTAAGGGAGTTAACTGAGTCAGCGCTGTATGTTCTGGTTACCCCTGTGCTCTGTGTAGACTTTTTTTTTTTAAACTCTGCCCCAAGTGCTCTTTGAAAGAGTTCATATCTTAGTCAGCCTTGTGTTGACATCTTCCTGTAACTACAAGCATTGGCATACGGATTTAAATTTTTTTCAAGATGTGAGATAATGGTGTTTGTTTTGTGTGGTGGAGGAAGAGATCCCTGATATTTACCTCTGGGATGAGGTTTCTCACACTTATTTACTTTAGAAGTGATGCGCTTTCTGAAGGACAAGGATGCACTAAATTAGCAAGTTTCTAATAAAGTTGAATATAAATTATTTTTGTTTTAAAATGCCTGAAGTTTTTCCTTAAGTGTTTAAACTGCATCCTGCTGACTACGACAGTGCAGTTTATTCCACAAAAATGTTTATTTAAACAACTGATTTTTTTAAAGAATTATTTCCATCCAATATTTAAAGACTTGAATTTTATTTAAACTTGAAAATGACTTTGCCTTAACTTTTGTACAAGACAGCTTAGAGTTAATGAGGTCTGACCCTGTGGAGGGTTAGCATGAGTGGAATACAGAATTACTCAGTTACAGTATGTATCTATTGTCACTGGTCTTACTGGGTAAACATACTGTAGTACAGGAACTAGCAGCAGTTTTTGTAATATACCTTAAAGATCTTAAACAGTTGATCTTTTTCAGATTGTTGAAAAACCTGTAAATGCAAATAGTCAATACTGTATTAAATATGTGCACTTGGAAGTGTGTGCTTTGCTTGTACAGTTGTAAATAATCAGAACATATAAAAAGGTACCCTAAAGAAAAAATCTGATAAAAATTATTGATATTATAAATGTTGCTGTTGAGCTGGATGTAGATAAACTAAATGTTGTGGTTTGGATATTACTTTAATTTGTTGTTTTTTTCTTTTTCTTATTTTATTCTGGTGTGCTGAACTGACTCTGCCTCTTCACTGCAAAAGGGAAATGGAACGAAAGTCTTATTTGAAAGCCCTCAAATGTTTTCCTACGTCCCTCTAAAAACAGGCAATTTAACTAATTCGAAAGTCTTCTGCAATGTAAATAGTGAATTGCAGCAGTCAAACTAATTTAAGTCATTAATAAAATCAAATTTAATTGGAAAAAAAATTTAGACTGCTACAAAAAATATACACTGAAGCTTACTTGTCTGCTTTCAAGAATATCAGTGCTTTCTTTAGTGTATGATTCATAGAACTGTAAAGTAACTATAGAAGATGACTCCCGATAAATTTCCTATTACAAGCACCAACTGGTAACTAGTTGACCTTTTAAATCCAACCTGTTGTATGCTGCACAATTGGTCAAAATAGGGCGTGCTGGAAGCTGTTGATTTTTTTTCCTTGTTTGAAAAGCACACTTTGTGAATGCTGTGGGAGGAGATAGGACTCTGACAACATCACCAAAACCGCTCAACTAGTTCTGTCATTGGATTTTTAATATGCTTCTCCTTTCCCCAGTGGCAGTGAAAACGGTAGCTAGATTTGTGTATGGGTTAGGCCAGCTGTATGATTCATTTTGTTTGTCTGCTGCGAGTGGAAGGATTACCAGCTGCAAACAAGCACAAGTGGTTCCTTACAGCGACTGTGTACAGCTAGTCATAATACTCAACTGGTACCTAAGGTGAAACATTGAGACCAGCGGGATGTGTTGTGCTGTTCTAATGTATTCTGCTGCCATTTGTGCGAGGTCAATACACTGTAATTACTGCTTACCCAGCAACAGTCTGTTGCATCGAAAGTTTAAACCTTCCTCTGATGTGGTTTTTATAGCTTTTTTTTAAAAAGAAGAAAGTGACATGCCAAATAGCTGTGTAATATACAACTTATCCTTACTGCATTTTACTTTGAGGTTTTTGGGGTTTTTTTTCCACTCAATGACAAAATGGAGTTTTCGGAGTCGAGTTGTGAAGTTGCATGCAGACTGTTGCTACAATACATAGAGAGATTAAAAATGCGGCTTTTAAAATGAAAAACCTCCCAAAAGCAGTAGCTGAGTAAAACGTTCAGGGATACAGTAATTAAAATTGGCATTCTACCTTGTAGGATTGTGTGTAGGACGCTTTTCATTTTGGAAATAAGTCAAAGTGGGATCTGAGACGCTTCTTCCAGAAATTTAAAAAAAACAACCAAGAACAAAGGTTGCTTTTAAAACTTAATATTGTTTCAGATCAGTCCCCCACCATGACACTGTCATTTGCCACGTCGAAATCTGTGAACAGTGGCAGATTTTTTACGTTGCTGCATTATCCTTCAAAAGACTTCAGCAGCTGGCATTGAGAGGCCCTTGTCCCAGCGTGGTGCAGCGTGGCACGAGCGACAGCTGGCTGTGATGGTGCATACCCATCTCTGTATCTCCTTCCGCTAGCGACAGTTAGGGGTTTTTATGTGCTTTGTAACCTATTACACTAATAGCAGCAGACAATCGAAGATTTCTAAGGAGACCTAACAGCTGCCAATTCATGAAATGGAAGTGTAATATGGGAGCCTTCTTGAGGGTTTTTGTTTTTGTTCTTCTTCCATTAAGACTGGAATCAAGCTTACATGTAAACTATCAGTAATTTAAGTTTCCTTTTGTGTCATAAAATGTAAAACTGTCTAATTTGAAAAAATATGTAGGTTATGAAAAATAAAGATTTAGGCACTGTTGAATTCCTGATTTTTTTAATTAAACCTTTCTTCAGCTGTTTTTTTATTACCTTTTGTCTTTTGCTCCCATTTTTGGAAATTGTCTATTTCTAATTTTGGGAAAAAAAAATCTTTGCTTTACTGTTCAGCACAATTGTTGTAACTATTACGTAAGGCTGTATAGCAGCAGCAAGAACACCTTATAATGTAACTCTGAAGGCAGCAATATCTATCTTTAGTAGGTAACTGGTTAAAACACACACAAAAAGCTGATCTGATGTTTTGTTTACTAGAGGTTATCTTCAGTAGTGGTTTCCTCAAATTATTAGATAAGGTCTTGACTTGGTCTTACATATGGATTTTAAAGTTTGGCTTAGTGCTCTGGTTGCATGGCTCTTGAATCTGGAGATGTCCTGGCATTATTTTCAGCTTTGGCTGGTTTTAGAGGTTTTCTGGTTATGCCTCGAGGGAAGAAGAGCATCTGGGATATCCTCCTGCTAAGTAAAAGGTCTGTTTTGGAAATACTTGTAACCCTCCCCCTTTTTTTTTTTTAAGGTTTGTGTCTCATTCAGCTATGTCTGACCAAGCTTAACAATGGATGGAAGCATGGAAGTATTAACAATTGCTGTGTTTTATAAGCGTATTGGGAAGTACTGCAGTAGTATTCTTCAGGCGGGATGTTCTGTAAGCTTCTGGACAGGGCAGGCTGCATGCTGCTTCATTTCCCTGCTACTGTCCGCTCAGAGTAGGGTAGCGCAGGAATACCAGTGTATACTGGGCACTGCAAGTTTCTCCATGTTAGAAAAGCTTGGTACGTCAGTTAAACATTAGGTTTTGGTGGTGACATGGACTACAAGTAGTTGAAGACAACCAGTTTTCAGCTGAGCATAGGGAGTATCCTGTTCTGCCTCTGGAACTCTGTTTTCTGTTACTTACTGTGTAAAAATGCACGGAACTTTGTCAGCAATGTTGCCATAATCCTAGTGTGGCTCTTCAGGACCACCCCAGCTTTGGCAGAGATTGTGGATTTATTTGTTCACACAAGAAAATTGGTCAGCGTCCCCTTCGTGCTAGTTTTCCCTAGTACGAAGTGATGTTTGATGACGGCTGCAGCACTGTTCATGTTGAACAAGTTGTTTTGTTTCCTCTTGGGCATGAGGAGGAAGAGTGAATATGGAAGATCACATGCAATTGAGTATCCAGAGATAACTTACTGTCACAGAAACTGTGACTCACTGCATTTTGATCCTAAGGCTGCTTTAGAAAAAAACATTACCAAGTTTTAAGTTTTCTAGTACGCTTTTACTTCACAAACCTCTGGAAGTTAAAACATAGTCCACTGATTAACATGGCTGGGCTTTTATGAGTGCAACTGCTGAAGTGACCGAGTTTCAAATTTCGCTGGTTTGTAGGTGGAAGTAACGCTACCCACTTCATCTCTGCTTTTGAGAGAACAAACCGTGTAGCAATATAGTGCCCTGGTGCCACCCGGCTGTAGTAGCTCAGTTACTGCGACACCCAACCCAAGCATGGATATACATCTTTCA